TTTTTTTTTTTAAATTGAAGATAACTCAATGATATAGGACTTTTTTTTTTTAACGTTGTTTTGTTCTATTTTAATCATTCAACAAGACCCTGTTGCTGTCATGCAAGAATGTGTGGAGGGAGGCTGGAGGCCTGGTGAGCCAGGAGGAAGGATCCGGAGTGCCAGGACACTGAGGGGCAGAGGTGGGCCACGCTGCCCGTTCAGTCATGGTGCCAAGGAGTGTTTCTCCCTGTTGTAAATGTTTCATATTGCTCTCTTGAAACTATGGGGCCAAGACCTAACCTTTCCTAAATTGAAGCATCCTTAAGGGAAAAACAAAAAGGCTAGTTTTTCCTCTCCCTCTACTTTGGGGGAGCGTGGCTTTTCCAGGAGACTATGATCAAAGCCTTTTTCCTGGTGATCTTAAGGTTAAACTGCCAGCAAAGGACACAAAAAACAATCAGAGCCATAACAAACGGGCAGATGCAAACAGAATCCTGGCCCTGGAAAGAATCTTGAAAATGTGTTTTGTTCATCCTCTGAGTTTTTGGGCCACACCTAAACTCTTAAAGCTCTTATTTATGGAGCTGAAGACCGCCAAGGACAATACCAATCTGTCTTAGAAACTCATGCTCGTGTCTAAGAATATTCACACTCAGGAAGTTCGGCCTTGTGAGTAAGTTCGGCTCCACTCACACCCATTTCCCCTGGCTTTGAGCTCAGGAGGTTTGGACAGAGGCTGGGACACCCGTGAGCACACCCAGAATAGCAGCCTCCTCCACCACCCCACCCCCACTTCTTTCCCTCTGAGCTACGTGACAGCTCTTGGAGCTCTTCGCCATGGGACCATTCTCTGACTTAGACCGATCAGTGCCTAAACTCCGACAAAAGTGCAGTGGAGAAGGGGCCAAGGTTGTCCCAGTGTGCCCTGGGGGCCTCCCCGGACCTGGGGTTTTCAATGGGAAACCAGGGAAGGCCCGCATGCCAGGACTCCTTAGCCGTGCTGACTCTGTAGCCCAAGGGCAGACATGCTTCACCCCCAGATGTCAAGAAAATGCGTGCGTGACACGGTAGATTCAATAGATTTGACCTGGGCTGTGCTCTCGGGTCTGCACACAGGCTGACTTCTTGCCCACAGGTCCTGACACGGCTCCAGGCTCCCTCCTGTGGACACCTCCCTCTCTGGAGATGGGAAGATCAAGCCGGACCACCACATTTGTTTCCAGTATAGACCTCTGTCTGAGGGGACAGGACAGGTGTCTGCCCACTGCACCCAGCACCTGTGGGACCCCACTACACAGGGTGTAGTCTGTGCTGGCAGAAAGGTTCATCAGCAAAAGCAGAAGCAGATACAAGAGTGGGGGTGGGGGGAAGAGGGTGAAGAGTGTCAAAAAAAATTGAAAATAGCCTAAAGGGTCTAGAAGAGGCAGAATTTGCTTTGTCCTTTACCCTCTGGCTTCACTGGCTGGGGACCTGTAAATTAAATGGGCCAAGGACAGGTGGCAAAGAAGAGCCAACCTGAACAAGTCAAGGGGAGGTTAGAACTTGGGCTCACCCAGCAATTTTTTTTTTAAAGATTTACATATTTATGCATGCAAGAACTGGGGTATAGGCCAAAGGTGTGAGGGTGAAAGGATTCACCAGAGACAGAGTGGGGAGCAGAACAGGCAGATCCATGAAGTACACAGCTGAGAGGAGCAGCAGGCGGGCCAGGAGAGGTCTGCCGCGCCATGTGGGTCAGCTCCCGGCGGGGATCGAACTTGTGCTGCAGTGGCTGCAGCTAGCTTCATAGTGCTGCACTTTAACCTGTTGGGTCACCAGGGAGGGCCCTCACCCAGCATCTTAACAAAGGAAAACCAAATGTTTGGAGTGAGCAGACCTTGAGTTTCCAGGGTGGCAGAGCAAGGAGGTTAATGTATGAGGGATCGAGAGCTTGATGAGAGCCAGGTGGTTGAGGTGTTGCCTTCCTCCCTCCGTGACGCTGGGGGAGGGGTTGGGGGAGGGGGGTGGGGAGCAGGAGAGGGGTTCCTTTACAGATGTAGTGCTGGCGCCTGGTGAAGGCAGGCAGGGAGGCAGAGAACCTTTTCTTATCTCTGCTTCCTCTCATTTGCCATCCGCTCAGAATAATCCCTGTGTCAAGTGGCTTACTTTTGGAGGGAACGCTGTGCTCCCCTTCAAAGCCTGGAGTAAGAGTCACACAGAGAATAAGCTTAGAGATCTGCTGAAAAAGGAGGAAAGTGGCCATGGAACAGCAAAAAATGGCAACTGTGAGAAGCAGAAAGAGAAGCCTGTGGGGTGTGGGAAGGAGGGGAGACTGACGTGGGGTACCCGTGTGGAGGGATAGACTGCGCCCCCACTCCCCCTTAGAGGAATGAGCTCCAGACTGTTAGATTTCAAGGACCAGGGGAAGAAAAAACAAGGACTAACTTCCAGCTGCAGAGAACTAAATGTACAGTCTGTGCTCATTATTTTCAAAGCAAAGGACTTTGTACATTCTCAGCGGAGAGGAAGAAACCATCATTGGCAACCGAGTGCCAGCATGTGACGCTGCCCTTATTTCTCCCAGTCTTGCCAGGGAATGTCCCAGACTGGTGCCAGGTGTCCCTGGGCATTTGGGAGGCATTGCTGTGAGGACTACGAGTGCAGCCGTGTGTTTCTTTGGAAACACGTAAAGCTCACATTTACCAAGCACTTCTCGTATGCCAACCCCAAGCTCATCATGGTGACAGTAACCCAGGAGGGGAGCCCCTCTGGTGATTCCAGAGGTTAGAGCGTGGCACGATGAAGCTGTCTGCAGCCACTGCAGCAGGAGTTCCAGCCCTGGCCAGGAAGCTGACCCACAGGGCACAGTGGACCTCTCCTGTCTCCCTGCTGCTCCCCTCAGCAGTGTATTCCAGCAGATCTGTGTGTCCTTCTCCCCACTCTGTCTCTGTGACTCCTCTCACCCTCTATACTTCTGGCCTGTACCCCAGTTCTTGTATGCATAAATAGCCCAGGAAGTAGTCATGGTCTTGGTCTTCAAAGTCCAAATGAGGAAACTGAGGCTGGGGAAGAAGTTGTTAAGAAGTTGTCCATCAAAACCAAACCCTTGAAACCTGGGACTGCTAGAAGTGGGGGGAAGCTAAAGTGGAGGGGTCCAGTGGACTGTGGTGGAGGGTGTGTCATGGTGACACATCTGAAGAGGTGTGAACTTGTACCCCTAAACCAAATTCAGTGTTGTTAATCAGTGTGAGACCTCAATAAATATAATTTCAGTAAACAAATAAGTGGGGAGTGGTCAAGTGGTAGAGGAAGAGTTTCACCCACATCATTTGACTCCAGGACGAGCTGGAAGCCACGGTGGCTCCTCTGCTGAGGGCGACGTCTGGGCTCCTTGGAAGGGTTTTCGTGAGCTCAACATTGGCTTTGCTTGCTTGTTTGTTTTAAATGTGGTGATTTTTTTAAAACAGATTTTATTTATTTATAAAGACAGAACTGGGGTACAGGCCAGAGTTGCAGGGGCAGTGAGAGGATTCACCAGAGACAGAGTGGGGAGCAGAACAGGCAGACTGAGGAAGTTCACTGAAAATAATGAACAACCATATACCAGAGACATTTTGCAGGATTCCAGAGCCTACAATGGGATCAAAAGTGGGGGGGGGGGGGGGGGGGGGGGAGGCGGGACTCGTTAACCTCCCCAGACTATCCCGAGCAGAAGCAGACTTATTTTGCCCGTTCTAATTCCTTCGCTCACCTGGAGTTCAGAAAGTCCACATCCAACTCCGACGAACTCGTGTCTGTGGATCCCCAGCCCCCCCAGTTCTCAGGGACATTGTCTTGGCACCCAGAGTTCCTGCTGATCTGCTACCAACATGGCATC